CATCCCTTCCATTGTATAACTTGCACCAGCCAGCTTAGTGTTGTTAGCAGGCTTGCTGAGGGTGCACTCAATCCCACTGTCTATCGTAAATATGCTGAAGAGCACCGGTCCCAAGATGGACACCATTGTCACCAGCTTCCACCTGCCCATAGGTCCACTGACCACAGATCTCTGGATATGGCCATCAAGCCAGTTTCTTCTCCTTCAGGTAGTTGTATAAGTCAAGGTACATGTTACTTTCCCTTTGTCTACCAATGCTGTTGCTCCATTGTAGAAACCCGCCAGATCGGTCAGGCACAGTCTGCCCTCGGTGAAGCCATACTGGCTGTCTATTCAAGACAGCTCTGCTTTCCAGATTCTTTAACACAGCCTCCACAAGAATCCATGCTCTTCCCAGTAATTGTCATTACAAGTACTGGGAGCTCCTGCCTCGTGGCCAAGTATCCTTTTGATATATGTTATACTGAAAAGAACAATTCATGTTATAATCCACCACAGTAAACTGCACTAATTTGGCAAAGGTAAAATGATAGGAGAGGATTTTGAGTGGTGAGTCACTGGCACAGGCTGTCTGGAGCTGTGGGTACCCCATACCTAGAGGTGTTGAAGAACAGGTTGGATGAGCCCTGGGAAGCCTGACCTTGTGGGTGGCAACCCTGCATGGCAGGGGGAGTTGGAACTGAATATCTTCAACATCCATTCCAACTCAAGATATTTTATGATTCTAAGATTACACAGTTCTTGTCAGGCTAGTAATTTCCTGATCATCCTATCTCCCTTAATCTCTTTAAAGAGAAGAAACTGGTTTCATCGTATGGCAGGAAAATGCTTATATGAACCTGGCAGGTGTACAAGGGCTGCACCAGAAGTAATGCCTTCATTATGTGTGTCATTGTACTCCTTGTGTCTGTTGTAGTTTCCATGGAAATAAATAGAAGGCATTACTTCCAGAGCAACCTACATACATCCTGTTTTGGTGAACACTTGCTTTATATTGCAAACTTTTGGGGCAGTGGAAGTCTATTCTGTGGAACAGCTACACACATGGTATTTTTTTTGCATTTCATCTTTGTTTAGGATTTAGTAATAGAAATTCCCCTTATAGCATCTAAGAAAGGCATAGCGTAGAATGGATGTAATTTTTGGTGTGGTTCCTAAGCTAAGGTTTTTACTTCTGAAACATTCTTGTATTCTTTCTGGCTAGTGTGCTTCACTATATTGGCTTGTTTTTGAAAGTAAATTAGTTTCCACTATTATTTCTTATAGATTTAAAAATTTGTAAATTATCTATAATACAGTTGTGGAATATTTCTTGGTAACTATGACCAGTACTTCTTACTATTTAATAATTAGAGTGCAGTTGCTTCTTAGGTAATGTTTTTCTGCAAAACCAACTGTCTTCCAAAACAAAAGGCATCCCATGTACTTTATTGCAAAGAATCCTTGAAGTGGTTACCTCCTTTTACAACAGCATGCTTCCTGAATTTCTAGGAATCCTGGAATGTATTGCTATTGATAGGTCTGCTTTGAGATTTGCCTGAGGCTGTAATTATTCTTTTGAGCTTACTGTTGCCTTTAAGTATATTACAAATTCTTGTCTGTGTGCCCTAAAGCATTGGTAAGTCTGATCCTGTCTGGTAGCTTAGCTGTTGCAAGTTTCAATGCCAAGACTCATCCTTTTTTGTTGTCTTTTATTATTTATTTACAAAAAAAAACATTATTTTTTATGAGTAAATGTTTATTACAATTTTTTAAAAGCTACCACAGTTGTGGTGGTTTTTTTTTGTTTACCTGTTTCTGTTTGAGGATCGTAGGGGGTTCTTTGACTTTTTATTTTCTTTTTCATTGTTTAGTTGTTTGCCTGCCTCACTTTTTGATGCCAGAAGCTGACAGTTCAGTGAGTCCTGGTAGCCACAATGGTAGTTTAAAGCCCGTTGTTTCAGGCACACTGTATATCTGAAGCAAAGCCTTTTTCATTTCTCTTCCAAATAACTGACTGCTTTCTTGAGAACTTCATGAGTACTTCCAAGAACAGAGTTGATGCATACTGTCCCGTGTGAAAGAAGTGACTGTGGATTACATAAATTGATGTGCCTAGCCTGCCAAGGAGTGAATACCTTCCCTCATTCCTGCTGTCATATGTCTACAGAGATTTTATTGGCTGGCAGCTGGAGAGGCTGGGTCTTGGCTCATTTATGCCCCAGAAACATGCTGTGTCTGCATTAAGATTTCTATAAAAATACATTACAAAACATTTTGGAGAGAAAGTTAAATATACTTAGTATTTGGGTATGCAGAAACTACCATGTTAAGTCACTGTATGAATTCTTCGAATTCAAATGAGTTTGTAGCTTGGAGATGCATCAAAAAGCAAACAAAAAGCAACCACCTTCCTTCTGAAATGGTGTACCCAGTTTACATCTTTTTGAACATATGTAGAATCGAAGAGGTATTCAACTAGAATGCACTTTATTTTCTTTCCTCTATTTATAGGAAGTTTTATTACAGGTAGCTATTTAAAAAGATAATTCCCCTCAATATAAAATGTTAAAAAATTAGTTACACCCTAAGATGGCAAATGTTAAGCATTTCTTTGTCAGTGCATGGAGACTTACAAAGTGCAGCTATCAAGCACAGATTTGGCAGAGTTCCTGTGACTCACCACTCACTAACTTAGGAGTTTCATCCTAACGTCTAATCTAAATATTCCTTCTTAATGGTTTAAAACCATGACCACTTGTCCTTTCACTACTCACCCTAGCAGTAAGGCTTATCCCCATCTTTCTTCAGTTTTTCCTTTAGGTATTGAAGCACTACAGTCATGTCTCCACTGGAGCTTTCTCTTCTCAAGGCTAAACGACTCCAACTCTTTCAGTACCTTTTAGCAGCAGGAGTTTCCAGTTCGTGTTTTTATGGGCCTCCTTTAATAGGAGGACTTTCTGTTACAGTGAGGGCCCCTGGGTGGAATACTGCAGATGGAGCCTCACAAGAGGGAATTACCTCCTCTGACCGGTTGGCCACACTTTTAAATGCAGCAGAGGATATGGTTGTCCTTCCAGGCTTCAAGCATTCACTACCTGCTCATTTCTAGCTTCTCAACCACCTTTCCTTCTGTTGTATCAAATGGACCACTGAGCTTGATCTCATCCACAAACTCACTGAGGGTGCACTCAATCCTACTGTGTGTGTCACTGATAAAGATATTGAACAGCAGCAGTCCCAAGGCAGTTCCCTCAGGGATGCTGCTCATCACCAGCCTCCACCTGGACTCCTAGAGCCATTGACCAAACTCAGCCAATACGCTAATCCTATGGTCAGTGTCATTGTCTTGTGGGGGACCATACAACAGGCTTTGCACAAGTGAAGGTAAATGGCATCAGTTATCTCGCCTTGTCCTCCAATGCTGTCACTGTATTAGAAGACCGCAAGTTTGGCCCAGTTTGCCCTTTTTGATGTTATCTTGCCTATTACCAAACAACATATTTTCCCTTTTTTCTCTGTGCAATTTCAAATAACTACCACATGGCAGTTGCCCTCCTACTTTCAGCAGAAGCATTGCTTTTTTTCCTTCAGTGTGACAAGAGGAGGGACCTTTAATTCAAGGGTCCTGTTCCTAGAAATTATTTCAACAGATTAGTCCTTCAGTAGAATTGCTACTAAGCACAATATGAAGCTTAAATGCTTACTTATACAAGTAACCTAGCTACAAATGTAATAAGGTGTGTGCAAAATATGTCATTTTTTCAAACAAGTAATGACTTCCTGCCTTTTTGGTCTCAGATTTTCCATCATAGTGTCATGTGAAATGTTCCTCAATGAGCTTTGAAGATTTTTTTTTGTTGCTTTGTTTTGTGGTTGGACTTGATTTTGGTTTCTAATGCTAATATTCCCTGGGAGAACTGGTTGGATGATAACTCAGATATTTGGGCAAGATGCAGTCATTTGCATGTTGTTTCTAAGAAATTATAAGCCAATGTAGAAATTTGAGGTCAAGAACTTACTTGAGAAAGAGGTGCCAGCTTCTTACCCACATTGCATGAACTTAAGATAAATTTGACTTTTTGTCGGGAACAACAATGTTTTTGTTTAAATATTTCATATTTTGTAAATTTAAATATGAAATCCTAATGTATTTTAATAGATAGTATTTGAGAGTTAATTTAGCAATACTATAAGTAGTTGTTGAATCTATCTCTCTGAAATGTGCTTCATTGTGAAGACTCTGTTTTGTCTTAAGGTTTCCCATGATGGAATTTTAAACCAAAAGATTCCAAGGATTTTTCTGTTAGTACCACCTTTTTACTAACAATTGTAATTATTTTCCTCTTACTTTTGGGAGAGAAGTAAGACCAGAACATCCCTGTCAGGTTTTCTTTAATGTTAAAATACATTCTGGGAGGTAGAGGGAACTGTGTAGAGTAGGAAGTTGAAATTGAGTGTAGCGCATTGAATATCTGCATAGAGATTTTGAAGATCTATTTGAATATCTCTTTATGTGTTTATATTTAACAAAAATCTGATACATAAAAAGATTTGCATATCTTGTTGTTTTTTTTTCATAATAATAAATAGTGTTTAGTTGAGAATCTTTCCTTAGATCTTTTAAAACGTTTCACAATGAAAATAAGATGCACTAATGGAAAAGTACCCTTTTACCGGGACAAAAACAAACAAACTGAAGGCAAAAGATGAGTCTTTACAAATCTGTAGCTGTCTGGCTCTAAGGATAATATTAAAATATGGCTAGTTAGGAATGTCTTGTCTCCTGTTTAGGCAGTTTTGGACTGTTGATTGTTCTTCCTCAGATGTTTTTGAAAGCAGCTTGATTTTAAATGAAATCTGAATTTGTTTCAACTAGAATTTGGGTAGCAGAAGAATGCATTTCGTTTTCAAGAATGGCTTTTGTTGATTCTAAAATGTAACTTAATGTAACAGATGTGTTTTATATGGAAGTTCATCAAGAGAGAGGAGCTTCATACTGTCTTCCTTCTTTCTGACAGGTTGTGAAGATGAGAAAAGATGTGAAGAAAGCCAGAGTCCTGACCATTCGCAGACTGACCAGACACATCGGGAAACTGAAGTTGAAAAAGTCAGTTTTAAACATTGTTATTCTTGTTTGTGTTTTAATAAATGAGACAGTAACTGGATTGTCTTCTAAATAACAGGGGCAAGAGGTAAACATGCATTACATTGAAAACTTAAGGCACACTGATACATTTATTCTATTATTTGTATTTTTACTTTATTTTAGATAGATCCAAAATAAGTAAAGTAGTTTCATGAAGTAGAACAGAGCTAACATGTTTTAAAAGGATTTCATATTTGGAAGTTAACCAACTCAAAGGACCTTTTGCAGCACTTCCAAAGCCATCAGACCTGATCTTTTATGCTCTTCTGCTCTTGATCACAAATTGTCCATTATTTTCTCACTGCAGTTCTCCGCAAATTTGTATAACAAAAAATATTATTTAGTGTGTATATTTATGCAAATTATGCTTTTTCAATAATTAGGGTTAATATTCTTAAAGCAACTTTTTCAAGATTGTACTTCCAAAGACAACGGGCCCAAAGTGGCTTCTATTATCTCACTGGAGATAAAAAAAAAAAAAAAAAAAAAGATGAGTCTGATGAGTCTGTTACAGTGTTTGAAGTGTAAATTGAATGTACTATTCTTTCATAAACGTAGCAAATTATATGGGCCTATTAAACATTCATATTTAAATGTTGCAGATCTTAGATGCAGTTGTATTTGAAATAGCAGTTTCTCTTATATGTTAGTGATAGGAATTGTTGTCATTCCCTTCTGATCAAGTAGTGTTTGTCTTTTTGATTATTTTGCTAAATCTTCAGTGTTGTTTTTTTTCTGTTCAAAACAGGAGAAACACTGTACTACTGAACCACTCTTCACCACAGTGTTCATCACATCAAGGGGATGTGATTGTGCTCATTCTTATGATTGCTTGATAGATACTTAGTATGACCATTCTCTAATAAGAAAGTGAACAAAACTCACCGTTTTTTTTAATAAGGACTTCATTTACAGGGGTTCAGAGGACTTGAAGCTAAAGAACCAAAAACGAGCTGAGAGATTAATAGAAGAAATCCACGCTATGAAGGTATTACCATATTTGTGTATTTTCATATTAAATAGAGTTAAGCTTAGCAATAAAAAGCTTTGGTTTTTAGGACTGCATTACTGAATCCTCCCTGAAATATCTTCTAGGTTAGTTTTGCTGTTACCGTAACACATCTGGAAAATCAAGAGTGTTTCCATATTTCCATCTTTGCTTGCTGCATCTGTCAAGGTGCTAAACAGTTTGAGTCTTAAACTCGCCAAACTAAACTTGAATTTATCTGGTCTGAATGGTACTTGAAGTTTGCACTTTGACATTTTAAGTGCAGGAATTAGTTTCTTTGTGCCAATTAAGAGGGTAAGAAATGCTTTGTATAACTGATTATGGTATTGTCAATATCAGTTCTCAGCTTTAAATGACATGCTACTGGAATATTTCTTTCAGCTTTAAAGTTCTGTTTTAGTTTTTGAAACTTTACCTTCAGGAGGCAGGTAGCATGGGATTCAGTTTTTTCTCTTCTGCTGTCAATTGATACAGTTTTTGTATTTTTTGCATTGTGATGTATGAGCAAATGCTTCAGAGATTTTATAACTTCATAGTGTTCTCTACTTCTTGTATCTTGATTTTAGTTGACAATGTTAAAACTGTGTGTTTTGGAATGGGTGCAGACTCCAGATTTCAGCACAAGTATTCTCTATTGTATGAGAGAACTACTTTGACGTTAAATGACTGTTTTTTTCCTCTATAACTACAGTGGTTGAGTGACCTTTATCTGTTTGTTTATGTATCTACCAATTAAGCATAGTCTTCAAAAGAAGCTGCTTAATAGAAAGGCTTTGTTAATCCATTTTTATGAAATGCTTTTTGCCAGATTCGTCAGATGGCATCTCATGGATTTTTAGCATATTATTTGTAAAACAACTGAGCTTCTACAGTTCAGTAAAGAGGAAAAGGAAACGTTCATCAGATAATTGCAGGGATTGGAAGGAACCTCAAGAGACCTTAGAGTCCAACCACCCTGCTAAAGTAGGTTCTCCACAATAGGTCACTGTCGCTGTTGCTCTGTAAAACAGCAGTCAAACAACATAAGTGTTGTCCACATGGTGATTTTACTTTCATGACTGGCTCACACAGACATCCTAGTGCCTGCTAGCACTTAAGTCTGTATTGGTCACATTAATTCAAGTAGTTTTATAAGTTGGTAGAAGGTTTCTTTCAGTCTACTTTTTTCTCTGTGCTCCCTGCAGTTAACAACAGTGGTTGGACTTGGTTTACCCTGCCTAATTCTAGGTAACTTACAGTGTCAGTTAAAACACCTCTATGTCTTCTAGTTTGTGTATACACTGGGTGTAGAAATAGCTCTGGAAGGAAACAGACATGGAATGCCCTTAGCAGCCTTCCTGGGCTACCTGTTTCTGTGAAGATGGAATCTAGAATAACGAAGCCCCTAAACTAAGGTATCTGGAGATAAGTGGCTGATTCTGGTATTCATGCTGTTACATACTTCTTTGGAAAAAAAAAAACAAAAAACAAAAACAACCCTCTAAAAATGAGGCTGTCATTTGGCCAAGCAGAGAATGAGCTGTGTGGAATTAAAGGAACACCTCGGTTGTCAGTAGTGACAACTACTGACACTGATGCTACTTGAGTTTTATAACTGCAGGACCTGTAAGTGTTGACTGTAAGTCTGATTGTTGAGAGAGGATAGATTTGTAATTTGGAGAGTGGTAAATAAAGTTTGCTTTGGAATTGTTTGAATAGGAGGAGTGAGCAGCAGAGGAGGAGGAAAAACTCCAACTTCCTGGGCAAATAGCTATTAAATCAGTAGTCCTTTTTGTTTAAAGAAAAAAAAAAAAGTGCACCAATATTATATTCATAAAATTTTAATAGTAAAAATTGCTCTTCCTGGTTGTTTTTATTTTTTTTTTTTTTACTTTTAAAATGAACAAGTAGATGCTTTCTGACTATACAGTATATTTGTTTCTTAAATAAAAGTGCCTGTTCTTTTTCTTATGAATCACAGTTCTGAAAGGCACTGTTTGTTCACATATTTTTTTAGCATTGTTGGGTTTTAGACTAAGAGGCCTTTACAGACTTGGCATAGAAATATTCCTGATTCATCATGGAGGAGAAACAAGACAGCTTTCACATAAATCATTCAAATTCCCTGACACAGCAGAGTTAATACTGGTAAAATGTCACACTCAGAAACCTTTTCTTAAGTTAGTGATCAGTGTTATTGAGTTATTGAGCAGTGATTTCATAAAGAACTCTTCACATAGCATGATAATGTATTTTCATTTAGTTTATTTGATAGAGCAAGTTCTCAGCTACAAAATGCTGTATTTCAGCATAGTCACCAACATTAGCTATGCTGTCACCAGTTCTGAAGAGGAGCCTGCATGCTTGACTGTCAACGGTTTACGGGCTGGTTGGGTCCGGTTCCGTGACGAGCGGGGCGGAGGGATCCGCAGATCCGCGCCTCCGGAAAAAAAGGAAACAGGAGACCCCAAAATAATTAAAACAGCGGCACCGATCTGAGGAGAAACAAACTAATTTACTAATATATTATCAGAATGCAAGATAACACACTATAATACAATATAATCAGAATTGAAGCTAATAAATCAAATATAATGAGAGAAAGAATGTCTGAAAGGTGGATAGGCCTCACCACAACGCTGAGGTGAGATGCGCAGTGCAGTTGAGCAGCAGGGAGACGAGAGCAGCGCCCATGACAAAGGGCAGGCCAGAAAGAGAAATCAGGTGATCTTGCAGGAGTTAAACCTCCTCTCCCTGACCGCAAGGTCCGCTGGGGAATGTAGTTCTTCTTCTCTTCAGGGCAGGTACCCAGGACTTGAGCATTGACAGTTAAACTCCCAGTGCCCCACGTGATGTTATGGTGTGGAATACCGAAAGCCAAAAATCACAAAACCATGACATTGGCTCATAAAAATTTGTACCAGTGGAGCTGACCCACCATTTCACAGCATCTAGCAATGACAGCATCATTGCTAGAAGAATATTGTCCATGCAGTCCGTTTTTCATTGGCCTAAACAGATGGAATTCAGAAGGCACCAAATACAGAGTACATAGTGGGCATGGAAAGCCAGTCCAGATTGGTAATGTACTCCATGGTCGTCAAACTGATATGAGACCTGGTATTTTCATTTTGCAAGAGAAATTAAGTCTTCCCCTGCCTGATTCTGGAAGCTTGAGCCTTCAGCTTAATCAGCATCAAGGCGTATTAATCTGTGTTGATGGTTTGTCCAGGCTGCAGGAAACATAAGAATCACCCCTTTCCTATCACAAAGGGCAGTGCACATCCACTTTATTCCCTGAGGTCTGCATCTTGAACTTCAATGGTAAATTCATGTCATCGCTCCATAGACTGCTGTTTTGACTCTGGCTTGTGATGGCACCACATCTCATACAAGGTAATAATGTGATAATAATGTGTCACTTTCAGCCTTATATTGGTTCAGTAGATCCTTACAGACTTGCAAATAGTGTTCTTTCTGAGCACACTATTTGGTGAAAACTTTGTGATATTTTAGCATTGCCACCATAATTTCCAATGAATTGTGACCAATCTTTATCTCCATATACAGATCCTTAGTTGTAATCTGCCAGTTTGTGCTGACGCTCTTCATTCTGTAGTATGACAAAAAGAATGACCATGTGGAACGTTGCTTGTCTTTCACATCACTGTCAGCACTGCTGAAATGCACCACCCACCACCTCACTGAGTCAGCACCCACTGTTTGGTCTCCATAAACATTCAGCAAGTGTTTACAAATATCAGTTGGTGCAGTTTTTCCACAAGGAGGAGTTCGTTTCCACATCTTTGCTTCATCTGTTCTTCTGTGCCAGATGCCATTTTATCCCATTGCTCCTCTGCTGCCATCTGTTACATGGCAACAACATGTAATTAAATATTGGTGGGAAGGTTCAACCTTTGCTGCCATACCATCAACATCCACCTCTTACGCTGGGGGCCAGTGTCATAAAAAAGGAGGTGTCAGTTCTGTCCCATTTTTAATCTTTATAGTGCTTCATGTTTTCACTTGTTCATTGCTTCTAATCATGTTGATGCCAAAATGAGTAATCTCACGTTTAATAGAACTGCTAGTCTACTAATATCTGTTCTTTCCTCCTTCTTAGATATTTTAACTAAGCAAACTTAACAACCTTTATATTGGAAAGCTGGTGGTTTTTTGTTGTTTTTCCTAGATTGCAAGTGTAAAATAATATGTTGAGTTTTTAAAAAGAAAATTGACAGAAGAATGTGGGGAAGAAGCTTATACTATACAATTTCAAGCTGGGATGTAAAAGCAACTGACAGCCATTCCTACTTTTGTATTTTATTATGATAACAGAAATAATGATTTTTTAACATCAAATACTGCTTTAGGTTTAGCTTCTTAAATATAAAGACAGTAACACTAGCTTCATTTTAAGGCTCCATCATTGACAAAATACTGAAATAGAAGCAGTTACCATGTGCTCCTTTTCTTGTTCACATTAGATTCTTAGTTACAAAGTGAAAACAGATTACAAAGGCAGCATTTTGTTGGATTTGAGACAACTTGAGGAAAATATTAAAGGAGGTTTTAAATAAAGGCTGTCAACTATCTTAAAAATATGGCTTGCAGATGAGGCTTTTTCCTATTGAGTCTTGCATAAGAATTTTACTATTTTGTTGTTGAGATTTTTTTTTTTTTTGTAAGGATGCAAAATAAGCTATTTTCACTTCTTTAGCAATATGGCTCACAGATGAGACTCCATCTCCTTTCTGAGTCCTACATAAGTATTTTTATTGCTTGCTTTAATAAAGATGCAACCTTTGCAGTAGTACCGAAAACAAATTAATGAAACCCATATGCCTTAATTTATTTGAAAATTGAGCAGTGACAGCAAACCAAAACACTTCTTGTTACTATTATTCAAAATAACCGGAGAAGTGTCAGCATGTTCTTGTGCTCATTTTGAAAACATGTATCTATATTGCAAATATACACTTCTTCTGTTGTTAAGTTTT